TCCCGATTTTATCGGGCCAGCCCCGATTTTTGGGTCTTTTTCTTATATAGGTTTCTATTACCCCCACACACACACACACCACCTGTCCCGATTTTTCACACTTGCTGTCTGGTCACCCTAAGCATGAGGTCTCAGCTACCTCACTCCCTCCCTCTCCCTTTCCTGTTGATAGCAGCTGAGGGAATGCTGGGAAATGTAGTTCTTTCCCTGCTCCGGGGCTGGCTTTATAGGCAGGGAGCTAACCAAGGAACTACAGCTCCCAGGGCCCCCTGTTGGTTCTCAGCTCCCAGGCTGGATTCTTGTGCCCCTTGGAAATGTGCCGCCCCAAGCACCTGCTTGCTTTGCTGGTGCCTAGAGCCGGCCCTGCTTCCAGGAGCCGTGCGGAGCCAGGGCAGGTAGGGAGCCTGCCTTAGCCCCGCTGCACCGCCAGATTTATAGTGGCCCAAAGTCTCCCGGATTGGCTTCAGTAGCCTCTGGGAGATCGAGCCCGATTCTGGGAGACACCAGCCAATCTGGTCACCAGGGTTAAGGCTACACTACAGCTGCCCTCTTCTTAGTGCTGAGCCGTAGCTCAGGGACGCCGTCTCCAGAGCTAAGCACTGAGGGTGGCGGCTGGAGACTGTCAGCTGTGCAGCAGATCTGCAGGTGATTGCAGACAACTGCGGAAAGCGTGTGTCATCCTGGGGCTATTGCCCTCTGACATAACAACTGTTACTGCCGGCAAAACCCAAAATTACCCCACTCCTTGTTTCACCTGCACTCCCACTGACAGACTTACAAAGTGCTGGCCTGAACTCCTGCTCGTTCAGTAGCCGATGCAGGAGAGGGCCCAGAACTATAGGGCTAAGGGAGAGCGCGCACTCTGGGATGGGCGGAGCTGTGAATATCGCCAAGAGTGCTGGTTACGGTTTGTAGCAGGGTTACCCACTCCAGCCCTGACAGGGGAGAAGCCAGCTCTCGGAGAGGGCTCAGGGCTAGGAGAAAAAGCCCAAGCGGATTGGGGAAGGAGCTACACTGGGGCCACGCCCCAGTCAGGGCAGCTGGGGCTTATAAGAAGTTCAAGGCAGCCAGAAGCAGAGCAGAGTCTCTCCTCTAGCGGTGGAGGGAGACCGGCCTGGCTGCAGGGGAGTAAGAAGGTACCTGGGAGTGAAGCAGGGCTGGGGAGAGCCAGAGGAGCAGGGGAGCTCCAGCCTGGTGACTGCCCAGGCTGCAGGGCCTGGTTCCAGGCCCATAGAGGTCCTGGGTGGTAGAAGAAGGCAGCAGGTCAAACCCCATTGCCTGTGATGAGTGGCATTTACACTGCAGTCTGCCCCATGGAGTGGGCTAGGTGAGGACTGGCAGTAGCCCAGACTGAGGCGAGGTGGGGGTAGTGGGGGTTCCCCGGGGAGGGGAGACGAGACCCACAGAGATTGTTGGGGTATTGCCAGGGGGCAGCACCTCCAGAGAAAATGGGCACCAGGGTCCAGGGGGGACACAGGGCCTAGTTGTGGCAGATCACGGGCCTGCAGAAGGCGCTCCAGGCTGGAAATTGAGCTCATTCCCTGAGAGACCAGCAGGAGGCGCCACAGGGATGAGTCCGCCTGCTTACAGGGTTAGATTGCAACTTGCTGTTGAAAGCTGCAGTCATTAGCTGAGCTATTGCAGCGCCACCTACTGATCTGGTAGGGATAGAACAACTTAATCCATGTTACTCTGGTGCATTTTCTATTGTGTGCTGTTGGGGTACATTTTAAGTAAAAGTGTGTTGGTTTTATATTGCTGCATAAGATCCGATATTGATACTTTTGGTCCTGGAGGCAACCGAAGTACAAACACAGATGTATTCGGTGCCTGTCCAGGTGGAGGCACCACCAACTATAAATATTCCTTTCAGTAAAAGAACGACTGCAGGATTCCACCTAATTTTCCATCTCAGCGGGGACCCCCCAGGATCTCCATTATCCTTAATGACGTCAGGTGCCCAGGCAACAGGTGAGAGTTGCCTGCTCTGAAGTAACCCAGGAAGGAAAGGGGGAGGTTACAAATAATACAAAATAAAATTCATAATTTGATACCGACGTATCCCACTGTCACAATAGCACCCAGCTGCCTCCCGCACGTGGCACCAAAATGAAGTGTCAATCCCAGTAGATTGTGCAGCTCTGTGACTCTCCCTCGCCTTTCCGAGGGCTTGTCTACACTAGAGCTTACTTTGGTATAACTTACATCTCTCAGGGGTGGGAATAATCCACCTCCCCGAGCCACTTAATTCATGTCAATTTAAGCACCAGTGTAGACAGCGCTCTGTCGGTGGGCGAGCGCCTCCCATCGCCATGGTTACCACCTCTCACGGAGATGGAGTTATGCGGATAGGAGAGCTGTCTCCCCTCGGCTTAGAGCCTCTTCCCCAGACGCGTTACAGCAGCGCAGCTGCAATGGTGCAGCTGGGTCGATGTAGCGCTTCTAGTGCAGACTAGACTGTGCAGCAGTGACATCATTAGCGATGTTGACATTTAAATTACTGTCATTGGGCATCTCGTTTAACCCCTTATGGAGATGACTGGGGCACTTCAGACCTTTCTGGGCTATTGTTTCTGCAGACTCAGGTAAACCTCACTGGAGTGGTTACACTTGGGTCACATTTCATTCTTCACAACCACGAGGGCTAGAGCCTTAATCTGAAATGAAAGCTGAGATTCTGGAGAACAAGATGGCAGCTAAAAAGAAAAAAAGTCTGGTCAACAGCCCAGTATGACCTGGCCCAATTCATGCTCTAGACATGCTTAAACTGTGGAAAGATTTCCTAGCCTGTCTGTTAGTCACTCTGTGTTTGGAATTTTGCAGGTATCACACTATTGGACAGTGCGGCTCTTAGAAAGGACGTGGATATGCAAAAACAATACAAGACTGAATTTCAGGTTATTGCATCTGACACCATTGCGGCTAAGGCCTCTGCACTCCTTGCTGGTGAATCGCTGAAGGCCAGTTTCCTGTGTGGTTTAGTTGAAATGACTGGATCTGCTGTATATTTAAGTGACACCAGGAAATCCAGACATCAGGCCCGAGTGACTCTCCAATACAAAATGACAACGAGGTCTGAGCATCTGACAATGAGCCATTTAGGACAGCAGGTTACTTATCCTGCTGTATTCGACCAAGGCAAAGCAACCCATGTGGTCACAGCTGTGCTGTATGGGGCTCAGGCTTTCTTTGTGTTTGATCGGGAAGTTTCTTCACCTGAGAGTATAGAAGAGATACAGGGAAAGATGAAACTTACGATAGAAAAAATACCAAAGATTTCAGAAGAAGATGGAGAGTCCAAAATGGAGGATAAGGAAATAGAAAAGACTGAAAAAATCACTTGTACATTCTATGGTGACTTTGGTCTTGAGAACAATCCAGTTACTTATCAAGATGCCATAAAAGTTTATTCCACCCTCTCTAAGTTGCTGGGAGCCAATGGGGAGAAGGCCATACCAGTGACAGTCCGACTGTATCCACTCATCAAGCAAGATTCCAGAGGCACTCAGCTGATACGTGAGATCAGCGTTGGGCTGATTTCTAATGTTGAAGCTGTCATGGAGCACCTCACAGAATTAGACACGCGGTGCAATGACATGATGAAGGACAGAACTGCCACAACTTTCCCTGAAATCAAGAGGAAAGTCCAGCAATTCCAAGCTCTGTGTAATCAGTACAGACAGGCTTTCCAGCAACAACTATCAGAACTCTTACCCTGTATCCGTGGAGGAGGAGCAGAGGAAGGGGCCCTGGGGGACATTTTAAGCAGCAAAGAACAATCACCATTCAATACTCAGCAACTCAATGAATTTCTGGATACCAAGGAGCAAGAGATGAATTTAGTGGATTTCTACCTTACTGTGCTACAGAATGTGGAAGTCGTATCCTCCAAGAGTGAACTAGAAAAAATAGTACTCAGCCCTAAGCATGATTCTGTTGTGTCTTTCACACTTACTTCATTACACAACAAAGAACAATATTTATTAGATTTGAACTTTTGGCTTAAAAGACAGTTTCTGGAGAAAATTCAAGAATCAGCACCAGCCAGTTCTCCCTATGAGAAATCAAACTCCAAACAGTGGTTTGAGGATGAAGAGATAAGAAGAAAAGCACGAAAATTCACAAAGTCCTTCTTAGACTTTACTAATGTCAATAAATCTCAAGCAAAGACCCGGTTCATTGTGGCCTCCGTTCCAGATGAGGACCATCCAGGAGCTTCGATTTACCTGTATGCAGATGGAGAGCTGGTCAGCCCCAATTTAGAGCCTCCATCAAAGCCTCTTCCAGCCCTGATGGATGGAATCAGACATGACCGTGTGCAGCTCACGTTTAACCCAGCAGCCTATGGCAGGGCTGCGATATCCGGCTATCGGGCAGAGTACAGAATTGTAGGGCAGGAGAACTGGATGGCTGTGGATGTAAATAACACACAAGAGACATTCACAGTAACAGGGCTACGTGCAAACACCGAGTACCAGTTCCGATACGCTGCAGTGAGCAAACCAGGGCTCAGCGAGAGCAGCGACGTGAGTGATCCTGTGAAGACCCTTCCCCCTACCAGCCCGCCTGCAAAGCCTAGAAAAACTATTGTAGGTTCATCAGCCATCACCCTCACCTGGGAGAGTCCAAGTATCACTGGAGATGGAGTCAGTATAAGGGAGTATAAGGTGGAATACAAAGAGAAGACAGGAGATACGAGTCAGGAGGGGAAAGGCAAATGGCTGGAACGAAGGACAGGAGAGAGAACAGAGTCCTGTACCATTGATGGACTGAGGCCTGAGACGCCCTACAGATTCCGAGTGTCGGCTGTGTGTGCGGACGGAGCTGTGAGTGACCCAAGCGAGGAGAGTTCTATCTCAACGCTAAAGAAAGATAAACATTTAAGTAAATCTGCGTATTATTCCCTCAACTACAGCCCTCTAGTGCCTGGAGCTACTGGATCAGGTAAGAGATTCCTTATCAAGGGCATGAATCTAAATTATCCTGTGTGTATAATGCAGGCTCAGCTTCCATTCAAATAATGAATCCAAGTAGAAATAAATCCTAGCTTCCAGATAAATACCCGAGCTGGTTCCTATTCGTGGACTGGGTGGCTGAGGTGATCGATGCCCCAGACTCAGGGCACAGAGTGGATCAACATAAGAACGGCCGTATGGGGTCAGACCAATGGTCCATCTAGCCCAGTATTCTGTCTTCCAGCAGTGGCCAATGCCAAGTGCTCAAGAGGAAATGAACAGAACAGGCAGTTATCGAGTGATCCATCCCATTGTCCACCCCCAGCTTTTGGCAAACAGAGACTAGGGACACCCGGGGTTGCATCCCTGCCCATTCTGGCTAATAGCCATTGATGGACCAATCCTACATGAACTTGGTTAATTGTTTTTTGAACCCAGTTATAGTTTTGGCCTGCACAACATCCCCAGCAACAAGTTCCATGGGTTGTGCATTGTGTGAAGAAATACTTCCTTTTGTTTGTTTTAAACCTATTGCCTGTTAATTTCATTAGGTGATCCCTGGTTCTTGTGTTATGAGAAGGAGTAAATAACACTTCCTTATTCACCTTCGCGACATCATTCATGATTGTATTGACCTCTATCATATCCCCCCCTTAGTCATCTCTTTTCCAATCTGAATAGTCCCATCTTTTTAATCTCTCCTTATGTGGAAGCTGTTCCATAAACTAATTATTTTTCTTGTCCTCTGCACCTTTTCCATTTCTTATATATCTTTTTGAGATGGAGTGACCAGAACTGCACACAGTATTCAAGGTGTGAGCACACCATGGATTTATATAATGGCATTAGGATATTTACTGTCTTCTTATCTATCCCTTTCCTAATGGTTTCTAACAGTCTGTTCGCTTTTTACTGCTGCTGCACATTGAGTGGATGTTTTCAGAGAACTATCCACAATGACTCCAAGATCTCTTTCTTGAGTGGGAACAGCTAATATAGGCCCCATCATTGTGTATGTATCGTTGGGATTATGTTTTCTAATATGCATTACTTTGCATTTATCAACATTGAATTTCATCTGCCATTTTGTTGCCCAGTCACCCAGTTCTGTGAGGTCCCTTTGTAGCTCTTCGCAGTCTACTTTGGACTTAACTATCTTGAGTAGTTTTGTTTATATCTGCAAATTTTGATGCCTCACTGTTTTCCAGATCAGTTATGAATGTGTTGAACTGCACTGGTCCCAGGACAGATCAGTTATGAATGTGTTGAACTGCACTGGTCCCAGGACAGATCCTTAGGGAAACCACTGTTTACCTCTCTCCATTCTGAAAACTGACCTTTTATTCCTACCCTTTGTTTCTGATCTTTTAACCAGTTACTGATCCATGAGAGGACCTTCCTTCTTATGCCATGACAGTTTACATTGCTTAAGAGCCTTCGGTAAGGAACTTTGTCAAAGGCTTTCTGAAAGTCCAAGTACACTATAGTCACTGGATCGCCCCTGTCCACATGTCTGACGCCCTCAAAAACTTCTAATAGATTGGTGAGGCATGATAGCCCTTTACATAAGTCATGTTGACTCTTCCCCAATAAATTGTGTTCATCTGTGTGTCTGGTCATTCTCTTCTCTACTAAAGTTTCAACTAGGGCTGTCAATTAATTGCAGTTAACTCAGTGATTTATGTTCTTATGATTAACTCAAAACAAATGAATCATGATTTAAAAAATTAGTTGTGAATAATCAGTTTTGATTGCACTGTTAGTACTAATTGTTGTTACATTTTCTTGAACATTCCATTCTTTTGTAACATCCAAGAAATGCCCTACACATGTTTTAGCATAATCTCCCTACATAGAATATTAGGGTTGGAAGGGACCTCAGGAGGTCATCTAGTCCAACCCCCTGCTCAGAGCAGGACCAATCCCCAGAAAGATTTTTACCCCCATTCCCTAAGTGGCCCCCTCAAGGATTGAACTCACAACCCTGGATTTAGTAGGCCAATGCTCAAACCACTGAGCTATCCCTCCCCCTTCAGTATGTGTTACTATTAAAGCAAACAACTGCAGTGTCCATGCAGCATCAGTCAAGTGTGCCGTGACTCCAAGAGAGCTGTGATTGCTCCAGGATGTCCAGTGATCACCAGTCAAAGCAACAGCTCGTGCATTTTCAAAAGCTCCAACTTTGTAGTCTTCTCATTGCAATATAGGTCATGTGTTCCTGATGCAACGGGAGGGCAAGGCACATGACTGATTGGAAGATGCAATTTGAATAATATCTCTTACCCTCTGTTTACAATGTTGAGTGGTCTGCAGTCCATAGCTATCCACTTTGCAATAGCATTGGTTAAGCTGTTGTACTGTGTTTGATTCATGGGCTTGTAGCAATCCTGAAACTCTGTCCTAGCTGGTGGGATTCATTTGCTGTCAGTGGTTTATCTGTAGCACAAGAACTCAAGGTGAAAGCACGTTTAGCATGGACTGGTGCTGCAGGCTTGAAATACTTTGATGATATTGGAACTCAGCCTTGCAATAGCTACATATAACCGTCTTTTTATCCAGTGCGACCAAAACCGTGATTAACCATGGCTAATTGTTTTAATCACTTGATAGCCCCACTTATCAAGCTCAGTCTTGAAACAAGTTAGTTTTTTTGCCCCCACTACTCCCCTTGGAAGCCTCTTCCAGAACTTCACTCCTCTGATGGCTAGCAACTTTCATCTAACTTCAAGCCTAAACTTGTTGATGGCCAGTTTATCGTCATTTGTTCTTGTACTACCACTGGCCATTAACTTAAATAGCACCTTTCTCTCCTGATACTTATCCCTCTGATGTATTTATAGAGAGCATCACACCTCCCCTCAGCCTTCATTTTATTAGGCTAAACAAGCCAAGATCCTTTTGTAAGGCAGTTTCTCCATTCCTCTGGTCATCCTAACAGCCCTTCTCTGAACCTGTTCCTCTGTGAATTCATCTTTGCTAAACATGGGAGACCAGAATTGCACACAGTATTCCAGATGAGGTCTCACCAGTGCCTTGTACAAAGGTAATATACTTCCCTATCTCTACTGGAAATACTTCGCCGGATGCATCCTAGGACTGAATTAGCCTTTTTCACAGCTGCATCACATTGGCAGCTCATAGTCATCAACCAATATACCCAGGTCTTACTTCTCCCTCTCTCACTTCCAACTGATAAGTCCCCATCACCTTCCACTTTGCACTAGGGCTGTCAATTAAGGATTAATTCACAGCACGATTAACAAGTTATTTTTTAAAATATGTTAATCTCACTCCAGAGGCAGCAGGGGCCTGGAGTCCTGAACTTTGTGGGAGGTGGGGGGACATGAGCCCCAAACCCTGGAGTCCTCCCCCAGCCAAGAATTTGTTGTCCCGGCAAATCACACTCCACCTCCACCATGTCTGCTAGTTTTTCCCATTGGGGCTTAGGAAACCTACGATGGCTGCCACAAGCCTGTGAGCTAAGTGTATCAGTTCTTCACTAACTACACCAGTCACATCATAAGTTAACCTTTAAGTAGCCTTATAACCCCAGCATGAGATGGTCGAGTTCAGGGCCCTGACACAAGGAAGAAAGGAGAGCAGCAGAATACGGAGCCTGGACTTCAGAAAAGCAGACTTTGACTCCCTCAGGGAACAGATGGGCAGGATTCCCTGGGAGAATAACATGAGGGGGAAAGGGGTCCAGGAGAGCTGGCTGTATTTTAAAGAATCCTTATTGAGGTTGCAGGAACAAACCATCCCGATGTGTAGAAAGAATAGTAAATATGGCAGGCGACCAGCTTGGCTTAACAGTGAAATCCTTGCTGATCTTAAACGCAAAAAAGAAGCTTACAAGAAGTGGAAGATTGGACAAATGACTAGGGAGGAGTATAAAAATATTGCTCAGGCGTGCAGGAGTGAAATCAGGAAGGCCAAATCACACTTGGAGTTGCAGCTAGCAAGGAATGTGAAGGTTAAAAAGAAGGGTTTCTACAGGTATGTTAGCAATAAGAAGATCAGGGCAGAGGGTTGGGGTGCGGCAAGGGGTTCAGGGCAGGGAGTTGGGGTGCAGCAGGGGTGCAGGGTGTGACCAGGGGTTCAGGGTGTTTCACAAACTTATACAGGATTGTTTTAGGGGTCAAGACAAAGATGCCACATTTATTATTAATTTGTAACTATTAGCAAATACCTTAATGCTTATACACAACCCCCCCCCCCCAAAATGTTCTGCAGCTGCTGGATAGTTACCGGTTCTGAGTGTAGTTTGAGTTCACAGCTTGGGATCGTAGCTTGTGGCGGTAACTGGCCAGGAAAGCTGAGCACGAGGAGGAGCTGGGTCTCTGTCGGGCACCGATGCTCCTTGATGTTGATAGCAGAACGTTACCCAAAATCTCTCATCTCACCCTTCCTTTTTTATAGGAGTTTAGTTTGGAATTAAAGTCTTTAGGTTTCGCTGTGTCACGCCGCCTCTGGGTTTGGTGCTTGATTACCCGTCAATTGCAGGCGTGACTGTTAGCCTGGGACCTGGCTTTGATCTTCTTTCCTTTTTTTTTTTTTTTTTAAAAA